AAAAATTTTTATTACAGTATTTTGTTTTAAAACTAATACACAAGATAATTAATGTTTAACAATCCAAAATTAAAACCTTATTCATAATTGAAGCAATCGAAAGTAATAACATTTTTTATTGAAAAATTGTATTTTTCAAATCTTCCTCTAATGACTGTTTTTTTTTTCTAGTTCCAATTATAATTTTAATGCGATATTCTAGAGCAATTATAGTCATAACTGAATTAACTTTGATGGTTTCAGGAGGCACGTAATTGAGTTAATGTATCATTTTCAAGGAGTTTAATTATCCAATTATACTTTAAAATAGAAGTGCGTTTATTATATAATCAACCAAGTAAAACTACCCAATTCACATAATTATTTATAGTGACAAGTAGTAAAACAAGGTTTGCGTTATAAAATAATAATTTTGCAGGGAACAAATACAGGAATAATTAAATGGACAAGGTCAGTAATTAGGAAATATTAGAATGAATACCAGTAGTACAGAACAACACGAAAATAAAGGAAAACTAAGGAAGCCGAAGGATACTTTGAAGAATAATTGCACTGTTATTTTTAGACAGTTACAGCTGATATTCAAAATATGTTTTCAATTTTTGATGAACACATATAACAAATATTGACAAAATGACATAATTCGTAGTGTATTTTATTTTTGTTACATTGGCGATAAAATAATTGCAAACAACTAAGAACGCTATGTTGTTTATACAACAAAGAAATTTGTAAAACACTGATAATTATATCAAGAAAAAGAAAAATAAAAACCAAAAGAAATTATAATATATAAATAATCAAATCAACAAGTTCTTAATTTGTACTGCTTAGTCTACACTAAATAAACAAGCAAGAAGTAAAAATATTTATTTTTTTGGTATATCAAGAGCAATTTTTTATGTCGGCTAATTATTTTTACGATNGTCGGCTAATTATTTTTACGATTTTTTGGTTATTAATAATAATATATGTGGTAAATTAAATAAAATAATAAATACCTATAAGAAATTGTCTCAAAAAGTAGTATAATTTTATTTTGATCCAATTGCATCCTTGATGATTATGAATAGGAATAAAAGTCAATATTTTTTTCTTTGAAATAATAAAATTAATTTAAAATTTTAAATAATTACAATTGTTTCTTTGTCAAAAACTTTGCTTCGATCGGTTCAATTTTTATCATGCAAGTAGAAATAATGTAAGAGTGTGCTAAATAAATTATCAAATGTATTAATCACAGTTATTGCTGGAAATGATTTAATATATATTTGGACTTGCCACATTTCCTAAGTAATACAAGGTCATTAAAACAGATCAGCGTTCTAAATATTCCTATTGCAATTTCATGAAAAATGACCCCATTCATGAGGTAAGATGGGTATACATGGGCATGACTCATAAATAAATTAATAGGCGAAAAGGAAAAAAGAAAACATCTCATTAAAAATTCACAAGTCTTTGCACTTAGGTTGAAAGAATTGGGAAGATTAGCTTTAACATGAAAAACAAAAAATTCAGCTAAATTTTTACAAAAAACATAAATCAATTATTTTTAACAAAAACTTAATTTATGTACACCATAATTATTTAATAACCAGGGACAGAGTTCATGGTTGCTGTTAACAACTTCTACCGAACGTTTTATAGCAAACGTTTTTAACATCAAGGTTACTTTGGTTTTGAATGTTTGCATATACAATAATTTTAATTTAATAAAAGCAAAAGTTTTAGTAGATAGAGAAATTTCAAAAAAGTCACATTAAATTGTAATTGTCCTAAACAGTAAGAAACCTTTTAATTTTCCAATACAGCATGTATTTTGGTACTCACCACATCATCTTTGCTATCACATTCGCAGAAGAGATTCGTGAGTGATGGAGGATTTGTTTCAGGAAGGATTCTGACGAATTCAACTCCTACACCTTGCTGAAAAAGAAACAAAAAGTATTTTTAACTACATTCTCTTGTAACTTAAGAAAGTTAATTAAGTACTTAACTTACTTACAATTAATTTAGATAATGTTCTACTAAATTATACACAAATTAACGTTTCTTTATCAAAACATCTTTCTTCTAAGACTTGCAGATTAAATATTTCAGTTCCATGTAATGAGATTTAAATAGAAACAATTAAAGCGAATATTTAAGCCCAACATAGTTTTTTTACGTAGCTGTCGTAAAACAAATGCCGCTGGAATACGAATAACTCCGAGGGCATACCGAGCGTGTGACCAGGAGTACGGTTTAGGCCCAACTATCATTAAATTATGACGTTCATCACAGGTTTCTACAATAACTGTATTAACAAATGTCTTCTCACTTTATTTAAGTAAAATTTAAAAGAAAGTCTAACAGAAATGTAACTTGTACTGAGCATACACACACCTCCGATTTCTTTTTGTAAATTCCTCTTGAATAAATTAACAAGTTGTGCCAAAACGGATAGATACAATGTAGGATCATGATATGCAGTAATTGAGTTTTACCATAAAAGTCCATTCTGCACCAATTGGTACAGCATTCCGAAAAGGAATATATTTTGATGTGTGCAGTTACAATCCTCTTAATATTCATTAAAGTTTTATGTCCGTATAAAGTCCTAATAAGGATTCGAAGTCAGATTTAGACGTTACATTCTGCATTCCTCCATAATATCGGGCGCCAGTACGAGCTGAACGTCTGCCAAGGGAGTTATCCCGGCTATCCCCTTTCCTCATGCACCATTTTTGTGTGTTATTCTTATACGATACTACCACAGATTGATATATGAGTTTATCCGGATCGGAGAGGGTTTACAACTTCCGCATTCTAATCTTCCTATCTTTATTCCGCGCTATAACATTTTTTCGTATACAACACAGGAATATTTCTTTTGGTATTAAGTGGGATTAATGCCAGCACGAAAATAAGGCGGCTAAATAAAACATAACTAGCTAATTTACAGAAATGCAAAAGAAATCGTAAAAGATTATTAAAGAGGTATGTCTGGAACATGACGCTGTAGGGGTGAGAAATATGGTTAGTGGGCGCGGCAGAAAAGAAAAGGTTAGAAGCGTTTGAAATGGGGTGTTACGGGCCAATGGTGAGGATACCATAGATGGAGAAAGTTAGATATGAGGAGCTATTAGAAAGAGTAGGAGAACAGACACCTACTCATGCATGAAGGGCTAGTTCGAGACATATTAGAATCAGAAGTAGGAGTTAAGAGTAGAGATAGATCTAGATTAGATTACTGTTCGCAAATAGTTAAGGATGTGAGATGTTCTAGTTTTAGGGAAATGCAAACATTAGCTCAGCATGGAAAAGAGTGGAGGTGCGTGTCCAACCAGTTCTAGGACTGACGACGATGATGATGAACAAGAATACATCTTTATAATCAAAAATAAAAACTTTTGGGTGTTTCATTCCCACCAGCCAGTAATGCTGGTGGGCGGGCAGTCCCTCCGGACTACGCCGGAAGGTAGGGCAGAAGGCCCTCTTCAGCCTGCTTTCAGGAATCGTGGGAATGAGTGGGTGGTGGTTCGGGTGAGAAAGATGAGATGGACGAAATGAAGACAGAAGAGAATGAAAGATTATCTGTGGAATCTTACTGCCCCAGCATTTGCCTAGGTGATCCAAGGAAACCATAGAAAAACTTGGACCAAGGCAGACGGACCCGGAATCGAACTTGCGTCCTCCCGAATGCTAAGCAATGGTCTAAACCTCTAGGTCATGCCGCTCGGCAATCAAACATACATTGAATACGACACACACAGTTGAATAAAAGAAAAAATGCATTCGCGAAGATTATAAATTCTTCAGTTCCATTTTATTATTCCTTTTGGATTTCTTTTTATTGTTTTTCCATGAGATTCATAGTTTTTAGTGAAACAATGCGATAAAGGATTACTAGTATGATATTTCAAATTGCAATTATCATGAGTTATGTGTTACAAAATTACACAGAATTAATGTAAAATTAAACCCTTATGTTCAAATAAATTTCCATCAAGATCTTAAATGTCGATTCATCAATCAGTTATACCACAAAATTGGTAGTAAATGTCGTTTTGGTTTATAAAAACACACGAGTGGGCACGTTCCGTCCGTGACCTTATGCCTCACCCGACAATGACGCAATTTCAGAAATCTAATCGTAAAATATTATCCTTTTACTATTTTGTATTTGTTATTAAACTTTAAATTACTGTTTCACTTTTTGTTATTAAATTTTGTTCATTTGGGTCAATATGTTAAGTTCTACTTCAGCCTACGACATACATACAGTATATTTATGATATTATGTATACTTAACGACATTGAGTCTGGGAAAATTATTGTCTAATATGGCAATTTAATATTGTTACTAATCGCAGGCGAATCGTGGTAAACGACAATTCGTGTTCGTTAATGTTAAGTAATCGATTGGAACAATCAAAGGTCGTCTAAGGTAATTTCCCGTAACGAGTTCAAACGACCAAATAGGTCTGATTAGTATACATTTAGGCATGTATTAACGTTGTACATGAGCATATTATTATGCACATAGTTATTTAGTCCCATGCGTCAAAAATCTTAACTATAATAAAATATACTTAAAAATGTAGGGATGAGTTACAAAAATAGAAGAGTAATACTTAGTTTGTAAAAAGAGTAAGAAGCAGTTGTAGAGCAGGGGCTGCAACGTAGAGAATTAAATATTAGGAAGGGAGTCAGACAGGGATGCACACTGTCACCGGTACTTTTTAATCTATACATCGAAGACGCGATCAACATCATTAAAGACAGTACAACTGTAGGGATAGATGTGCAAGGGCAAAAGATTAGTATGCTTAGATTGGCAGATGATATAGCAGTATTAGCATCTAGCAAGGAGGACCTAGAGATAGCTATAAATAAAATGGAAGCGGTACTGACAGATCAGTACTGTATGAAAATAAATAAAAGTAAAACTAAAATACTGGTATGCAAGGGAAGAAAAAGTAGGGAAAGAGCGAATATAAAGATAGGAGACGAAAAATTAGAAGAAGTGGCTGATTTTAGATACCTAGGAAGTCAGATAAGTGAGGATGGAAGGAGTAGTAGGGATATAAAGCAGAGGATAGCGCAGGGTCGTGTCGCCTTTAATAAAAAGAAGTCACTTCTATGCTCGCGAACGGTTAATTTAGAAATTCGAAAAAGGTTGTTAAAGGTGTATGTTTGGAGCACGGCGTTGTACGGGTGCGAAACATGGACAGTGGGCGTGGCGGAAAAGAAAAGGTTAGAAGCGTTCGAAATGTGGTGTTATAGGCGGATGATGAGGATAACGTGGGTAGAAAAGGTTAGAAATGAAGAGGTATTGGAAAGAATAGGAGAACAGAGGACTCTATGGAAGTCAACAAGAAATAGGCGAGATAGGTTGGTAGGACACCTTCTCAGGCATGAAGGTCTAGTCAGAGACATACTAGAGGCAGAAACAGGAGTTAAGAGAGGTAGAGGTAGACCTAGATTAGATTACTGTTCGCAAATCGTTAAGGATGTGGGCTGTTCTAGTTTTAGGGAAATGCGAAGATTAGCTCAGGATAGGAAAGAGTGGAGGTACGTATTCAACCAGTCTTAGGACTGACGACCTTATGATGATGATGATGAATTATTTAGTAGGTATGTACACGTAAATGGACTTGAATATTTATAATTTACCGGAATACAATAAGAATACCTGTTTGTATTTTCCCAAACTTATTGTCTGAATAAGTCCAAGCTTTTGTAGCTGAGCATTTCAGAAACAGAAGGACAATAAATTATCTGACATGTAACAGCAAAATACAAGTATATAAATAAGCAGAGTATACCTAATCGTTTTTAAATTATGACCGCGTCTATTAACCTTCACCCAATCAAGAGTGCCAAAAATGTCCAATGACGTCATTATTATAAGGTAGCAATTTGTTACGAAAGCACGTAGCCATCACATTTATTCTTAGTACTCAAATACGCGACACTTGCAAGACAACTATTACCGATTTGGCAACTAATTGAGTTGCAGAATTTACCAATTTCTCTTGCCACCCATGTCATGGTCCTTGTAGGTAGTACGTATTATAAATAGAATTATTATTAGTTAAACAAATTCCAACAGAAGGCAGAAAGAAGATAGAAACTGTTGAAGAAATGGAAACAGGAAGTTGGTAAAGACAGATGCATTATGATTTCTAGGAAACCGTGCCTGCACTTACATAAATATTATTAATTTGATGATCTACGCAATTTTATTTGTATAAGAATTTATAAAGACACTTTCTTATCGTCTACAACTCATAACCCACGAGTAGTCGTCCATTTTCATTGATCAGCATTTTATTTTCTCTCCCTCTGTAATGCTTTCATTCTTTTTTGGTTTGTGTTTAAACATACCTATTGAAGTTTTTGACGTGACAACGTCTTATAATTCGATGGAGCCGGCTGCACGCACGAAAAAACATGACTCATGCGGCGTTACCTCGCTCTGAGGCGTTCCATTTGAGGCTTGAAGTGCAAGCGAGAGCGCGGAACGAGCGACAAAGAGGCACAATCGGCCTCCCGCGTTCGGCAGCGTTCGACATCTGTCTCTCTCCTACTTGAGTGAGCGATGCGTTCGCGTGGACAGCTGCTATACAAAAATACATTTCCATTTCCCTCCTTCTCTATATCCATACAAAATATCTATCAAACAAATAAAATTAAAATTTTCTTTTGAAAAATGAAACCATTCCATCAGTATTTTCTTATGACGTTGTCACGTTCAACTATTGTCAGTAAACCGACTTTACAGACAACCGATTTTTTATCATAAAACATACGTTCATACAATTTGACAATTGCTATCCATTATACACGGCTCATAATCAATTGTGAGTTTTAGGTGGTGGAAATCGATATACAAAACATCTAGTAATTTCCCCAGAGAGAGAAATGGCTTACCCCTCCTTATATAAACGACACGCATCCTACATTTGCTGACCTACGCCCTAAAAAATCCATAAATAAGGACTAGAGTTGAATGGTTAGAGTACATTGACCTAATAAAGAAGGAATAAGCCACAAGGAATGGAATTTATTTCGTATAACGACCAATAGTAAGATTCTACATTCTCGTCATATTCCCTGAAGATATCATTAGCTTGAGAAACGTTGGAAAGATAGTTCCACCCGGGAAGTGGAGCGTTAGTTCTACACCATGGTATAAAACTTTTAAATTTCGAAGTTGGTTTCAAACCATTGTTTCTGGGACTATATGAATTTGTCCATCTAACATTCTTTTGATAGCTGTATCATTAGGTATTTCTGGGACTGGCCTGGATGAAGCTGTCTATCCAACGTTTCTTCGGTTGTTGTAGCAGTAGAGTAAAATTCCTTCGTATTGGTTGAGCTGAGATTGAGAACAGTGAAGGATTCTACATTCCCGTCATATTCCTCGAAGACATCGTCAATCTGGAAAACGTTGGATAGACAGTTTTATCATGGAAATCATCACAAGAGGAGAGCCAGTTTTACACCATGGTATGAAACATTTCAAATTTCGTTTTAAGTTGGCTCCATACCATTGTTTCTGGGTCTGGTATGGAGGAGCTATTCACCCAACGTTCCTTTGGTAGCTGTACCACTGGATAATTCTGGGACTGGCCTGGATGAAGCTGTCTATCCAGCATTTCTTTGGTTGCTGTAGCTGACAATGGAGTAAATTCCTTCGTATTGGTTGCGGTGAGATTGAGGATAGAGAAGGATTATACATTCTCATCTGAAGTCATAATCAACCGTTGGATAGATAGTTCCATCAGGGAAGCCATCACAAGAGAAGAAACAGTCATACACCATGTCATAAAATTGGTTATTTATTTAACACTTTTTTAACATCCATGCCTTTTTAAATGGCGAAGATAAGACGTTAAAAGATAAATAAACACTCAGTAGACATTTTATATTTACATACGAAGCATGTGTTTGAAGACTGCCATAGACAGACGTAAGAGGAGAAAATAGTTGGCAATGATACACAGAAACAGCCGTTACGAAGTTATTACCTCACCGGTTACATCATCGCTGAGCACATTTAAGTTTGTTCACGATTAAATTTAGACTTGGAGGTAACCTGCTGCCCTCCAATCGCCAATTAAGTATTTTTCGACCATTAAAACTGCAGTTAATGTGTAGATTATTGTCGTATATCAATTTAAACAAAACATTTATAATACGCATAACTAATTAAATAACTACATTCCTTGACCAACATGGTTGGGATTGGAGAAAGTATCCGTCCAGTGTCTGTTACTGTAGTAACCGTTTGGATAATGGATACCGTTGTTTTTGATGTACAGGGTGGTCTAATGTAGGCGTCCTCTTTCCATAACAGGAATAAATAGTATAAACGATAAACTTAAGTAAAAGGTTTAGTCTGAAACTGATCTGGGAATCATGATCAAATTTTTCAATCCAATACAGAGACGTTATCAAAATTAGTCATTTCTTCTTAATAGAAGCTGATGAAATAAAAGAAGAAATTGTTATTAACAATTTGCATCTGTTGAATATTTATTTATATTTGGTATTCCATTAGAATATATGTTCACGCCACCCTTTCACGAATTTTGATACCTACTGGCGTATGCTTACTATTCTTTCAATTTAAAGAAGCTTACGAGGGTGGATTGATAAGTTTCCGGCCTAACCAAGAGATGACGCCACTAGGCCTACCTTGAGGTGACATTCTATAGTACCATCCTTGGATAGCTTGTAGCTATAGTTTCAGCCCGATCTCCTTGCTAGTGTAGGTTTGACAGCACGCTGAACAAGACGCCTCTGTGGTTTTCGTAAAAATGGAAAAGCAGGAAAATCGT